ACAGGATGGGAGGTGCTCCATTCTCCCTGGGTTCCTGATGCATCACTTTTCTGTTTCTTAAGGCAGGCACCCCAACAGTCCTGCTAAGATCTACCTTGCTCCCTATGGGGAGTCTCCCATGGGACAGAAGTACACACCTAGCTCAGCTCCTTATTGCCTTGTTACTTGCTTTCTTCTTTTACTCACTTTTGAGGTGAAAGGGGCTGGGTTTTTATACCATCTCCTCCTCACTATAGAGTATTATAACAAGATCACACACAAATGGGGTGAGGAAGTCAATAAATAAATATCAACCACTAACTTGTCATCTAGTTTTGGGCCATGAAAATGATCAGCATCTATAAGGGAGGATCCTGAAAGGAAATCAAAGGCAACCTAGTGATTTGAGTCTATACAAATGGGATATAGAGATGGCAAACCCTGACAAATCGGTAGTTTATAAATGATCAGCCTCAGTATTTGGTCTTTGGATATTGTCAAGCCAATTGTCCTTCCTATGTCCCAACTGCAAGGGAACAAAGGCAAAAAAATAAGTAATTGGGACTATACTAAATTAGGAAGCTCTGTACCTTGAAAAGAAAGTACCACAAAAGCAGAAAGTTATCCTACAGACTGGGAGAAGATATTGGCACATAGTCGACAAGAGGTTAATTTCCAAAGTATGTAAAAATGTTCACACAACTCAACAACCAAAAACCCAATCCAAAAAGACCTAAATAGGCATGTCACTTTTTTAAAACCATAAAATGAGTGAATCATGATGCCACTTGTGGACCATTGCTGGGTGTGTTGGGAGGGAGTGTACGACCCTAATCAGTCTCTTAAGAAAGGCTCAGTGACTCCTGAAGAGATCAAGTTCAGGTTCACAATCACAGCACCAAGTGTCTTGCTTGCAATGAGCACTTAGGATGACATGGATGGAAATGACTAAGGTCTTCATTCTTTTCCAGAGTGCAGCTCACATACGACTGTCCTCACTTCTGAACCCATAGCACCTCATAGCTTGCAGGGTAGTACTCAACAAATAATTGCTAATGTTGGAATAACTACCATGTATCAGCATATTCTATAGAAGAGAAGTCCTTTGCAAACCTGTTTAGATAACACCATGATTAATGTTATAGGCCAACTTAATTTTGGCAATTGTTCTGTAACAATATGTAACTACATAATTTGACTACATTCAGCGGCAAGTATCAATACTAACAGGCTGTCACTCTTTTCATTTCACTTTAACAATCTTCATTACTCAGAAGTTTTGCTGAGCTGACTAAACTACAACTGTAAGTGAACAATCCTTTATTTTTGTGAAAGATCGAGTCATATGTAGGCAGAATCAACCCATGCTTTTATTTTCATTGCATATAAAAATTTCATATGAAGGTATTGATGTACAGTACTATCCCCATGGGTTGTAAGAGGCTAAGAAACCACTAAAAGAATTGTCATTTGTAATGCTCACACACAATTTACCACTCTGAAAACATATCCAAAGAAATAAAACTAAGAACTAAATCAGGAAGGATGTTTCTTGTATTTATCGTGTCCCCTTTGTACTGTTGAAAACAAAAGTAATTAAATTACTTTGGCCCAGGGCTGCTAAAATCTACAGTTTGTGTCAAAAAAAAAATAATAATAGGAGGTTCATTTTTCCTAGAAAAAGAATCTCTCCTTTTACTAAGTCACATGTTCCAAGGGCTGGGCAGAGAGGCAGGTTTCCACACTATTTGCAAGCGGTTGGTCATAGTTTTGGGGAGCTAGCCATCATGCAAAGTTTAATTTTCAAATTCTAAAGTAATATAGCAAGTTTTACAAGCACAAAGTCTCAATAATGAGTACTTTATGCTGTGTGAATTGGTGCTGTATAAGACTGTTTAAATGTGTCTATTTATACACACAAGGAAATTTAGTTGAAGATTCCTGGGTTTAAAAATGTCAACAGGAAACTGAGGAAGAAATGATGAACCAACATGTGGGATCTATGGTATTAATCTCAAATCAAGTTCATTGCCAATGTGCTCTAGAAGCCAAAGAGAGCTTTTATAATCACAGTACAAAGATATATCTTCCCAGTAGTAGTGGAAAGTATAGACAGTCAAATGTAACTAACTGAAGTAGCTCTTGAGCACTACACATGGGAGTTACTGTCACATACGCAGTGCTGCTGACCTGCAAGAGGTACATGAGAGCTTGTGTCACAAAAGGGTCTCAGAATGTTCCAGATTGTGTAAAATTCAGCTACTGCCTGATATCCAATCAAAGCTTGGATGTAAAATGCCCAGCCCTAGCTCTCACCATTACCTTACTTTCAAATGCAGCAAAACAGAAGAAAATATTAAAGTTAAGGCACAGCCCTGGGACCAAAGACCTGCAGCTATGTTTTTTAAATTTATATATCTTTATGTATTTTATAGTTTTCTTGAATCTTCCATAAACAAGCTCTAAGGTGACAAGACTATATTACAGGAGAAAAGAAAATGTACAAGGAGTATGTATACACACCATTCATTCTCTCACCAAGAGTTTCCAAATATATCAACACCATCCCATCGTGGGGTGATGTTTTAATAAGAACTGATAATTTACAATTAACATTACAGTATGTACATTACAATAAATACATGGTTGTAAACAGACAAACAAGACTGTATTACAGGTAAGGTCATTTGGTGAGAAAAAAATGCATGGCACAAAAAATAAATAATGCATTAAAAATTATCATAAAGCTTTCCGTAAAATCCATTTCATTCAAGTTTTTTTTTTCCTGTCTGCAATTTGTTCTATCTACATTATTTTTCTTGTGAATTTATAGTGATGTAAAAGAAAATAGAATGAATTTGTTTAGTAACTTGCAAGCTGAAATGTACTGGTTTTATGCAAACTTGGACATTTTTTTCCCTATATAGTACCCAGATATTGCATTTTCTCATGGCATTTTAGGACATGTAAAGCCATTTGTAAAAGGATGTCCTTGTAAAATATGTAAAATTCTGAAGCACGCTTTGGCAAGAGAAGTAAGAAGGGAGAGGATAAGCAGATTGTACATTAGTCCCTGTCTCTTGCATATTATGCCTTTACTACCATTTGATTGTCCATTGGTGGGTATCTTCACAAGTGACCGTTAGAAACAAACAAAATTGGAAAAAAAGTGCTTCTATTTCAGAGCAGTTATAAACTTTTCAGGTCTACATTTGCAACATTGTTGTTTTAAATATTTCCGCATTATTACAATTCTAGGGACTCTCTGGGGGAAAACAGAGGTGAGAGAATTAGAGTAGTTTGGTGAAGGGAATAAACCCCATTCTTTGTCTTTTCTTCTGGACTTCCTATTATGAACAAATAAAAGACAAACAAATTTCCAAGTGTTCTTGTGAAACCAGTTGGATCAAACAAAGAACTGCATTTGAAAGATTACTGATTTTTACAGGAAGCAGGTGGAAACCTAATACTTAATTGATTCCTACTATGGTCTATGTAAAAGATCAGAGACCATTTTTTATATTAAAGGTTTGAAGTGAATTATCATCTTCAGTTTGGGTCATTAATAATAATTTAGTATTAATCCCCAAAAGGCTTCGTGAGATATCCTAGATATACTTTTTTTCAGGATCATCATTTTTCTTAACTCTTGTATTTACTTTCCATTTGAGGGTACTCACTGTTGGTTTCTATTTTTAATTCATGGGTATTCACATTAAAAAAAATGACTGCTTGTGCTCTAAGAGCTTTACAGAAAAGGGAAACATTTTATTAAGAGTTGAGCTAAATAAAATATCCCCCAAAACACCAATTGAAGGTAAATACTGGGAGTTAATCTCTAAAATTGTAATAATGGTTTTGGTGCTAAATTCAGCCAAGAGTGATCTGTAACTTTTTATTCAGGCAGAATTTTTCTTCCCACTATTTTAGAGTTTAGCATTAACTTACCAGACTTCTGCTGGTGCCAGAGGCAGCATCAACTCCTCTCCCTTGGTGTAGTTTAAAGAAGGAGTTCTCTACAGATAGGCTTATGGAGCAAAGAAAATTGGTAATTCAATCCCTGCTTGTGATGTGGCTTCCACAAAGTATAGCTGCTATACTTAAAATTACTTCTCAAGAATTTTCTTTATATAATCTTAACCCCATGGTGAAATTATGAAAACAAAAGGGAACTAATTGTATTGGTGTTTATTAATATATTTTGCTAACATTGTTAAAAAATCACCTAGCTAGCTAGCTGTTTACTTATCCTTGTAAAATCAAGAGTAAAAACTAGTCATTATGTATGACTTCACGGTAAAAATGATTGGTAACGAATTTAACTGTTTCTTTTTATCAGTCAGAATGGTGCTGATATATTTGACAAGACCACATCTAGTGAACGTGGACAGAGGTTCAAACACGCTAAATAAAAAAGCAGCACAAGGGGGAACAAGTTGTTCTTACTTTAACTGGCTGTGAAAACAATAAAAATGAACATGAAATGTGTAGGTTATTACAAAGACATGCACTTGTGAAATGAGGGTCCATTGACACAGCAAAAATTTATCAGAAGACACTAAGTAGGAAAATATCTAAAAAAGACTGACCATTTTAGCTACTGGGTATTTATATATCTCTCACTTGCTTCAGACGACACCAACTGATGATTAAGTGTCTACGATGCTTAAAGACACATAAGACAGAACGCACATCAGAATATCACTGAACAAATATTCACTGTGCACACTGTGAAGAAAATGTCAGTGGAGAGTAACTCTGCTTACCTGAAAAGGGTGAAACAAAAAGCAACGTAAATGAAGACCTACTACAAGTAGGGTTTCCTGCAACATAACTTTTCTTTTAAATATGGAAGTTATTGGTATATAAAACAATGAATCACTACAAATCAGTTAATTGCTATGAACTATATAAGGTGCAAGTAAAATTTGTAAATTAGATTTATCCAGTGTAGCACATATTTGTACTGAAAACTTGCAAGTTACTCCTTAGAAAAAAATAACCAGTGGCAGATGAAGTTCTGAACATAGTTTTTTAAATATAATACCTCAGTACATTTAATAATAAAAGTAAGCTCTACAAAAAATCTGTTTTACATATCATACAAAATGTAGAGGTCAGTGCAGCTCACTGAACCACACTATTCAGTCATGTATCAGGAAGACTTGAAATTAGAAAATGACGCAATTTGTGGCTCATCCTCTGCCTATGGCAACAGCTTCACACTGTGTCCTGTTCCTGACCCACTGTGTCATTCCATTCATTAGTTCACGGTGTCTATGTAATGCCTTCTTTCTGCTGAAAATATTGCAAACGAATAAAAAGATATCCCAAATCACATAAACTTTTCTGGGCTGCCTGATGAGCCACACTCCCTTGAAAATACTTTGGAGTTGATTTTCTCTGCTTCATCAGCTCAACCAAGCTGATATCTTGTTAAAATGCTGTGCGTAAAGATGTCCCCTTTGCTCCGATGTCATGGAGGTGAAAAAACTGGTTACAATATTCCTGAGCGCCAGACTGAGTAGTCAAGGTCAGTTTTGTTCAACAAACGTCCTGGCAGATGACTGTGAGGTGTGACCATGGTTGTGCCATGTGACATGCACTTTGGAAACAATTTTCTACTTTAAAAAAAAAAAAAAAAAAAAGGGAGTGAATGTCTTTGCAATGTTACGTGTCAGGAGAACGATCTTCTATTACACAGGCTTCCGGCTGGCTTTCCTCTTCTCCCACAGCCTCCTCTTCCACCTGTTCATCAAGGGGAATTTCCGTGGACTCCGAATCTTGAGTACAGAGAGTCTTGGAGTCACTGCAGCTCGTGTCCTCTTCCACCTGACTTCCACTGTCCTTTTCCGTGTCTGACTCACCGTCTTCCTCTAAAGTTAGTTCAAACTGGAACTTTTCCGTATGACCCTGCCGGCCCTCCTCCTGGTCATCAGGTGCTGGGGAGGGGCTCTGAGGAATTGTGCTCTGGTACCATTCACGATTGTCCTCCAATGTGTCCAAAATGTCCTGGGCGTCAGGATGTACAAGGTCTGCCCATGTTTCCCAAAGAGGGTGAACAATATAGTCGATGAAGCCCACCTAATAGAAAAAAACATCCAATTTGAGAACGGGACTTGGGAGTAAAAACAATGGGGAAATTAACTAGATCTCACAAATACATCTAATTTGAACATGCAGTTGACATATTCCTTGTGTAATGTATTTAACTTATATAAAAATATATGAACTATAACATGGCCTGCAAACATACCATTTCGCAGAAGACTACTAATGTTAGTTTGGGAAAATAATCAATAGTTTACATAACAGATGACGTAAAGGTATTGTTACTAGCTGGTGAAAATTAGTTTCTAAAACTCTTAGTTCAAGAGTATGTTTATCATGTTCAAAACTCAAGTTTTTTACATGGTAGAGCTTTGGCTTGAAGCCTGGACTTTATTTTAGAATAGCTAATTATTTCAATGAATCAGATACTATATACTCTTTCAGAATTCATACAACCAGATACAGATACATGAAATAAATCTGTGTACATGAATGTAGTCATAATTAATGAATATGTCATAACACATATGACTGAAGAGGTGTTTTTAGTTTATGAACACTAACGTGAAATGGAGCTTGTCAAACACAAAGTGATTTCAAGACACAGTAAGGTACCCTGTGATGGGTATGCTAAGTAATCTGATACTGAAGCTGTACTTTTAATCTCTCTGGAAGCTTTGTGGCTGTGCCTCACCTGTGATTTTTCCACAGAGGCATTGTGCTTGTCACACATGGGACTTATCTCCATGCCCCGCTCCCTCTCTCGGTCTCCTTGGCGGAAGAATTCCTCCATGATGCGGTCGGTCCACTGGCGGTACAGCTGGAGAGGCTTTGTGGGGTTGCTCAGATCTGCACAATGCACCATGTTCTGAAGGACCTAAAACAGACAAACGCTTTCTTTACTCACACCTGCTCTCTTTTTTATTTTTTACTAGAAATTCACGTCAGATGACTATGACACTTAAAAATACATGTAGTGCAAGATTCCTTCCAAACAGTCCAAACTTGTATCTGTGTGTGGTTCACACTTAGTATTAATAGTCCCAAATTATGTCACCTCTACCACATCTAAATATCATGAGAGAAACTGTTTATGTGCATGGTTGATGAAATTCAGAGCTGCATCAAGTGGTTGGTTTTGTGGCATGTTATCGCTTTTTTATTTACTTTTAAACACATATGCAAAATGGAAAGATTAACAGAGTTTTCTATGGTTAAATTTTAAAATTAAGACTTTGGATAAAAGTCTTGATGATAAATACTACAATTTTAAGGTGGGAAAAAAGAAAATACAACGCTTATTCAAAACAGACACACAGGCATATCTGTACACACATATACATGGGCACACACACAGAGCAAATTTGAGTCATGCATTACCTGAATCCGATCAGAGTAATTATCAAGGAGAAGAACTCCAGAACTTGTCACTTTCTTAGTTTCAACCATAGTTTTCAAATCAGCCAGTAGATTCATATGCTTTGACATGTCAGTTGCAAGTACCTTAAAACACAAATATCACATAAAACAATCCAGAATTTGCATTAGTGAGAACTAAACAGAGTATGTGAAGAAGTGGGACACCACTCTGTCATCTAATGGCAGTGGCTGGACACTCTTTACTGCTTTCTGGGGCAGAATCTTGCCGTTTGATGTGAACTTTTCTGGAGCCCCAGATAAACATGTGAATATACAGAAAATATCAGGCACTAGTAACCACGTTGAATGTTGAAAAAAGGTAGACTACCTTCATGGATAAGACATTAGGTAGTTTTTGAAGTTTTGTCCATCTCTTGACCCAGAAAATGATTACTGTACTATGATGAACTGATTCAAGGGTGATCACAGAAAAATTCAGAAATGAAATACAGATAATTGCTATCTTTATGCATACAAGGTTTCACAGAACTAAGTTTGTAATAACCAGAGATTTTCCTGTGTCTCCTAATCACTGTGAATAATATGTATAGAGGCAATGTCAATGGCTGGAGTTTTTTTGTTCCCTACTTTTTAAAAGGAAATATATCACAATATGGCTTTCTGCTATTGTTAGTCACCTTTCTCTGTCTGCCACGAGACCAGAGGAGTTCAAAAAATAAAATGAGAATGGTAAATGTAAACTGTCATTATCCTTAGTTCCAAAATACTAGAAGTAAAAAACCTTTCACAGAACACCACTACCAGCACCAGGGAGGTAACTTTTTGAACAATAAGAGTGGGTTCTGGAACATGCCATTACTTTTATTGGATGCTAATCTCATTTATTAAAAACTTGTATCATGGTTCTCTCTTTTCTCTTTTATCAGCTACTTACAATGTCAATGACCATTTTCCTTAATGATTGTCTTTGCTTTTTGGTCAAATTCTGGAAAATGTCACAGTTTTCTTCCTGAAGCAACTTAAAGCCCACAGCCAGGTGATGGTTCTCCAGGACAGAAGAGTCATTGTACATCAAGGCAAGTTCAGAGTCTTTAAAAAAAAAAAAAAGGGCAAGAGATTAGCAAGCTTGGTCTAAATTTATCATGTCTTCATATTTTGAGCTACTTTGAGTTTGAGCTACTTTTGAGTTTGAGATTCTCCCTAAACATTGCTGCCAGCCTTAAACGAGGACGCCTAGGAGGACATACTACCCAATGGGACACTAGGGTCTTGGGAGTGAATCCTAATGCCATCACTATGGCTGTGGCAAGTCATTCTACCCTGGGGCCCTCAGTTTTCTCTTTTCTAAGTTGAAAGAAGAGTTGGGCCAGCTGATCTTTAACCTCTCATAATAGCTCCATAAAAGCTTAGCAGAGTATGACATTATTCTTGCCATTTTCCAGTATAAAAGGTGTTATATTATCTGAAAACTGTGAAGTACCTCCCCATCACTTTATATAATGTAAAGATCAAGTGATTAAAGATTGCTGTTTTCAGAGAAGGTAAAATAATACTTTTGGAAAACATGAAATAGTACTGGATCTATCAGTGATGCTTTTTATACTGCATAATTGTGAAACATTTATTCATTTCCCCATGTCCTTGTCCAAGTAGCATAATGGTCAGTATAAATGTTCATCAGCCTTTCCACCTGCATGAAGGTAGCTTCACAGAGGTGGTGTGCAGCTGCCTACACAACTCCCTGATGAAGACTATAGCTCTCTCTTTTGCCTGTGTATTTCAGGTTTTGGCAAGAGACCTTATTCCTTTCCTAGTTCCTATAAATAGTAGACCCAGATCTATAAGGTGGCCATTCAAAAAAAAAGCCTTGGTACTGTATTCTCTGTATTCTATTTTCACTTAAATCATTGTAAAAACTAAAAACATGCATTTGATGCTTCCTTTGAATAATACATGGAAAAATATATGTGGACATATGCATTCTTTTCTAAAAAAGAAAACTGTTTTAAAGGCACTTGGAAGGAGAAGTTCAAGACATTGCTACTGTAAAACTCTACAATTTTATCTGTGTTGAACAAATTCTCTATAGTATCCATGACATACATATACAAGTGGAAACATATGTATTTAAATTTTTGCTCTCAAACTACAGGTATCTATATCTAAAAAACCAGGGAGTGGCCCTCCCTGGTGGCGCAGCGGGTTAAAGCACAGCACTGAGAATCTAAAGCCGCTTCCTCATGAGTTCGATTCCCGCCTGCCCCGGAGGTGACCACATGGCGTGGCAGACCTCTCCTGACCCGCCCGCTGCTCCCCTCAGCAGTGTACTTCGTCGATCTGCCTGTTCTGCTCCCCACTCTGTCTCTGGTGAATCCTCTCACCCTCCGCATCTCTGGCCTGTACCCCGGTTCTGTATGAATAAATAAATAAATCTAAAAAAAAAAAAATTAAAAACCAGGGAGTAAATGTATAAGGCATCTTTTTCTTTTTTGATATAGCAATAGTGGGCTTGTTTTATTTATTTATTTTAAAATAAACAGTTTATTCAAAAGAAAAAAAGCTGTCTGGATAAAGCACATTATCTGCTCAACTCTGACTTTTATGTAAGTCTATAAAATCCTAAGCTAGGAATACTTATCTATAGGTAATTAAACACTTTTAATATATTTTCTATTTAGATAAGTATTTTTATTGAGCTAACACTGTTTTATATAGAGGATATATGATTTAGGGGAATACATTTTACACCATTTATTGTCTTAGAACATGATGTTACTGTTTCTGTGGTAGAATTATATGTAATAAACAAATTGAAAGGAAGGTATATTTTGTGGCTGGACAAATTATCTCTAATTAACTAAGTAGGGTTCTTTTAAGGGAGTAAATATGCATAAAGATGAGGGGCATTTGGTAGGAGATTTGATTCAGGTCCACCAACTTAAAAAAAAAAAAGGATTTTCCAGTGAAGACAGACAAAGGTATTGAAGGCTATGGAGCCTTCAGAGAGAACAGGGATTACTTTGAGAACTCTGATCTGTGGCATATCCATGTAGGTAGATGGCCCTAGACCCTGGGCAAGTCTGCCATCGAAAGTGGTTAAGCCTTGTCAATTAAAGAGTCCAGACTGGCCAGAAAGACCATAAAACAATTCCACATGGAACAGGTGGTCTCTACTGCCTCTCCCATGTCTGGGGCTGTATGTTATATGAAAGGGATTTTAGGTGGTTATCCAATCAGTTAGCAGTGAAGCACCTGATAGTCATTAAACTTTCTATTCCTGTTTAGGATTGAGGCCTTAAGTCATACCCAAAAGGGAAGGCTGATTCTGTCACTCCTCTGTAAATTTATGCTAATGAATCTAATGAAAATTCAGGAATAATTAAAACTTAACTTTGTACTTTCAAATGCAGTAGTAGGGAGGGGGTTAATGGATTGTTCATATAACATTTCTGTTGAAATGTGTCATATCTTTAAGGTTCAGAACAGGTCATCTCTTCCATGAAGCCTTCCTTTTTACCATGGGCAGAATTGCTCACTTTCTGCCATAAACTCCTATCTACTGAGCACAATTCATTTGGCCTTAGTCACATTTCAGCTTATTTGTCCTGATCTCTGTCCAAATGTCAATAGTCCTTCTCAAGGACTTCACAACCCACTCAGAGACTTAAATCCTATATAAAATTAAGTTATATAGAACAACTGATGTTCTTGACTAATTTTTTAAAGGGAAGAACTTTTTTTTTAAGATTTATTAGTGAATACAGAACTGGGGTACAGGCTAGAGGTACAGGGGCAGTGAGAGGCTTCACCAGAGACAGAGAGGGGAGCAGAACAGGCCAACTGACAAAATACACTGCTGAGGGGAGCAGTGGGTGGGTCAGGAGAGGTCTGCTGTGCCATGTGGATCACCTCCGGGGCAGGACTGAACTCATGCTAAAGTGGCTTTAGCTTCTCAGTGCTGTGCTTTAACCCGCTGTGCCACCAGGGAGGGTGACCTATCTGATTTTTCCTGTGCACTTGTGAATAAAAAAATTCTCCTTGAGCCTGCCCTGGTGGCACAATGGGTTCAAGCACAGCATTATGAAGCTATTGCAGCTACTGCTACAAGAGTTCAACCCCTGGCCAGGGAGGTGACCCACATGGTGTGGCAGACCTCTCCTCCCCTCAGCAATATAGTTCGTCAATCTGCCTGTTCTGTTCCCCACTCTGTCTCTGGTGAATCCTCTCACCCCCACAGCTCTGGCCTTTACCCCAGTTCTGTGTGCATAAATAAATAAATCTTTAAAAAATTCTCCTTGACATAGGACACAGAAATAGTAGTTTTAATACCTAGTTGCTAAGTATAAAAGGATAAAAATTGTGTGGTTCATGTCTTCACTTATATACTCCCTAAGTTCTTAACCTGAATTATATTTGCACCGATCTTATGCCATCTGATGCCACATATATTCACAGAATTCAAGTTCACACACCCAGAATTCTTGTTTATCCATACATTGAACAATATATACAACAATATTTAGCACATAGTATATACAATATTTAGCATACAGTAGTCTGTCAATAATTTTCATTGAATAAAATAATGAGTTCCATACTAAGTATTTATTTCCATATAGTCAAATTTGAGAAAAATAAATTTCTCCTTATTTTGGAACATCTTAGACTTACATGGAAAAAAAAAACTATTCCACATACAATCCAAAAATAATAGCCATGTAAAGTTTATTTCCAAGTGATACCAGAGAAATAAAAAAGTGTATGCACTGGTTGTGAAAGTTGGCTCTAATATAATAAAGGTCTATGACCTTATTAACCAAAGGCCATATACTTTGAACATAAGGAAATCCTTCTTCCTAAAACATAAGCAACTTTGCTATAAGCATAAATTACTCACCTTCCAAATAAAATTTAATTCTATATTCAATTTAGTGTTTTTATTTCAGAAAATACTGTGAATTTAATTACATAATACCCTCCAACATATTATAATTAAAGTTTTACAAGCTCTTTATTTTTTATAAATTTATTTGCACTTATTGTCTTTGAAAAAGACCTGAGCAGCTTTCCTGACTGGAATTTCAATTTCTTTAAAACAGAATTCAGATTCTTTCATTCCTGATAAATCATTTGTAAAAGCTTAACATACTATTTCACGTAGAAATGATCTTTGTGTTTTCAAAACCTTAACAATTTTACAGTACTACAATGAATTACACTAGCAAATGCATGAATATCATAGCAAATGCAAATGCAGTATAAAAACACTGGCACTCTGGGCCCTCCCTGTTGCGCACGGATTAGGACGCAGCACTGCAAGCTGGCCAGCAGTCGCTTCAGTGCAAGTTCTATCCCTGCCCCGAGGAGATCCACATGGCGCCGCAGACCTCTCCTGACCCGCTCACTGCTCCCCTCTGTAGTGTACTTCATTGATCTGCCTGATCTGCTCCCCACTTTGTCTTTGGTGCAGCTTCTCACCACCCCTGCACCTCTGACCTGTATCCCAGTTCTGTATGAATAAATAAACCTTTAAAAGAAAAAAAGTGGCACTTTAATACAAATGGAATGATTTAATAGAAACTACTATCACAATGGGAAGGAAAGGTGTATCTGGACTGGGGTTCAGTCAAGTTAGCTTCGGTGCCCCCCTACCAAGGGACCATGCAAACTGTCTGTGCCCTTGGAGCGTCCTTAAAACAGGGACAGTGACTGTGGGTTTATAAATTTGAAGAACCAGAAGCTTTTAGAATCCTTTTCTGAAAGAGACATAGACTCAACTTTTGGGTTTGGACAAGCTGGCAACACCAGCTCTAAAGTAAGTGCTTATCTGAGCTGCTGATGCTTAGTCTATTCACAAAAGGAAGAGAAAAAATAAATTTAATGTCTGTAAAAGAAAGTTTACTGCAAAGTAAGAGTAACTGCCTGTTTTTGATAGAGTATCTCACAAAGCTATTTCCTAACAGTTCACCAGTTATTAGAGAGGTTGCTTTATATATACTATGAAGTTAAATGTTTCTGTGTTACTGCTACTAAGCTTCCTCTATATTATGAATTAAATGCTTGCATGACCTCTGGACAAAACCTAACCAAGGGAATAATTCTCTTTATGGCCTGCGGCTCTGTTTAATCCTGGGATAAGAGATGTCCCAGCAGATTCCTTTTCTCAGGCATAATAAACCTCATCATAACCCACCCTCGAGAAAATATTGGCAAAACAAAGATGCCCTGGGAACTGTGAACCTCCTTATGTTGCTGAGGTCTTACAGAAAGCAGAGTATCACATCACTGAGTAACAAAATATTTCCAGAAGTTTCAGTTATCCTTTCACTTCAGGCAGGTCATCAGCAAAATTACCTTAAACAGACACCATTAGCCACTGCCATCTTATTTAGAATTATTCTCTTTCTAGCTGTGGCTCTCACACTTTGGAGGACATCAGGCTCGCCTGTGGACTGTGTGGTTGTGATAGTTTGAATTGCGCACTGTGGGTACCCCGATGTCCACCAGAGTCTTCCAGGGCCAGCCTATGTCCTTTTAACCTTAGAGGGTCCACAAGAAAGAATAAAAGAGCTAGCTGGTCCTCATTTTCCTAAAAGAAGTTTTTGGAATACTTGGAAATAGTTACCTTATTATCAGTTGCTTAAATTTAGTTTCTAATCAACAAAAATTTTTATGCTAAATAGAACACACGATGTTACATATGACAAGGTGTAAAGAAAATATACCAGTTTGAACTTTGATTTAAAGGAAAAAATGCCTATCTTTCTTAAAGGCAAGTATTTAATTAAAACATCATTTTCAGACATATTTAAAAAGTTATACAATGAGGAGACATATTTAGATGTGTATAAGCATCAAAATAATCAGACCAGACTAACAAAAAGTGCTAGCATACTGTACAATGTGCCAGCCGACCTTCCTGCTCTTCCCAGAAAGGACATAGTCAATACATTGTAATCACTAATACAAGGCACACTCTTGTTACCGCATCTAATGAACATTAATATTTGTGTAATACCCAGTAATGCATTAAAAATTCCTGAAGTCACTCCATTATAGGATCTCATGAAATATTTGGAATATAAAATGTTACCCTATTTCATCCCATAAAATTAAGCTTATAAACTAAACTTTGGAAATGGAGTTGACTGGCCACGTGTCCCAGGAAATCCAAGAGTTTCCTAATCCTATATTCAAGCTAGTAACTACATTACATTTTGTTATATAGAGTCATCCAGAAGTTATTAAAAGGAAGAAAAACCTAAATAATCTTAAAGACTTTAATTAAATCTCTGAAAACAAGGCTACACTTTAATTCTCTCTTTAAATTTGACTGCAGCAATGTACAGGAAATGAATGGTGAATGCACAGATACTACGAAGGCTAGTTTGTTATGGAGCATAACAAGGCTAGGATCCACAAACTCCTGACAAAAAACAAAAGGCAGATTCTTATAAAATACAAGAAACAATGCTTTAAGGGATTATTTTTTTTCATATAAAAGTGCCTATATTATATTAACCCTCCTTGATGGAAGAGAACGTCATAATAGCATTACATTAAAATCATTTAGCAATTAATTTCAAGTATCAAAAAGATAGAATTCTGTAGAACTAAAGCCTTCTTGCAATGGCTTTGCTCAAGCACTACCTACAAATTCCCTGTGCAGTCCTCTGTTAAGATTGTCTACCATTCCTTTTATTACCAAACCCAATGATGACTTCTTAGTTAATGAAATACTATCAATGAGAATTTAATGATAGAAAAAATTTAATGATAAAATTAAAAAAGAACTATTAGGGCCCTCCCTGGTGGCACAGTGGATTAAAGCACAGTACTAAGAAGCTAAAGCCACTTTAGCAGGAGTTTGGTCCCTGCCTGCCCTGGAGGTGACCACATGGCACGGCAGACCTCTCCTGAGCCTCCCACTGCTCCCTTCAGCAGTGTACTTTGTCAATCAGCCTATTCTGCTTCCCAGTCTGTCTCTAGTGAATCATCTCATGACCCCTGCACCTCTGGCCTGTACCGTAGCTCTGTATGCATAAATAAATAAATGTTTAAAAATCTTCCATAAAAAAAACTATTAAATTAAATATGAAGTTCCTGTAGTTTAATCAGGAAATTTAAAAAGGAAAAACAATGGGTGGATCAGGTGGTGGAGCAGCCAGGAATAATTACAGTATGGGTAGATAATTAAATGACAACCTACATAAAGTGAGGATGGCTTAGGATTGATTCTGATGTTTTCTTTTTAATTTAAAACTATAGGGTAAATCTAACCAGATATTTCTGCAGAATTACACTTCTGACTGCCCTAGTCTGTTAACACGTACCTGGAAATATTTTGTTGTACTTCTCTAGAACTACGAGAATGTATATTTTCCAAATATCATACAACTCATGCAATTTAATCCTGATTTTCAGAACTAAATCATGTTATTATATGTTAAAATTAAAATGCATATTGTACTGACTGATATTCTGGTTTGACAGTTTGGATTCATGTCTGGTCTACAAAGTTAAAAGTGGATTTCAGATTGCATACTACATACACACACACACACTGCATAGTTGTAACTTAGCTTTGTATTGCATTATAGATCATTTACACTGTTCTTTGTTTACTCTTGGCATATTGTCCTGGGTTTATTGGTAAATGTTTCAGTTTCATGGGAAAAGTGAAAAACCAACTCATGTCAAACATCTGTCATCTTGAACAGTAATCAATAAAATTGCTAACTTGATGAAATGCTAACACTGCAATGCATTTAATTTTCCTGTTAAACTCAACATCTATTTGATATATGTGGTAAAGAGCATTAGAGAACAAAGACAGTGAATCTTAATTAGCTAAGGAATTGATAATGCTCTCAGAGACTGTTGTGAATTGCTGGCTGTTTCTTCTATATTTGCTATAGATGTAAACTTTTGGTTGTGCTGAGGTGAAGGGATGACTATACTCAGTTAAAAGCTGATATGTTACCATTTTCCCAGTAAGATTTATTTTTTTTTCAAGATTTATTTTTATTTATGCACAATGGAGCTGGGATGTAGGCCAGGGGTATGAGCTAGAGGGTGAGAAGATTCAGCAGAAACATAGTAGGAAGCAGGACCAGGAGGATCTACTGTAATACACTGCTGAGGGAAGCAGTGTCATGGTGAAATAGGAGATGTCTGCTGTACCATGTGGGTCAGCTACCTGGCTGGGATGAAACTCATAGTGCAGTGACTGTCCATAGCTTCATAGTGATGAGACTTTAACCCCTTGCCCCACCAGGGAGGCTCTTCCAGTAAGTTTTGTTGCTGTGCATTTTATCAAGGTGATAGATATGTTCTTAGCTATTATTTTAAGACCATCAATTTCCTTCAGACAATTAAGGAACTCAAATAGAAGAGTCAGCTAGTAATTCACAACAGTCTCTGAGTACATCAATGATCAATTCCTTAGCTAATTAAGATTCAGCATCTTTGTTCTCTAATGTTCTTTACCACATATATCAAACAGATGTTGAGTTTAACAGGAGAATTAAATGCATTACAGTGCTAGCATTTCATCAAGACTATTCACTTGTTACTACATAGGCCATTGTAAGGGTTAAGACTTAACTTAATATGAAAATGGGAGACGGTATCAACTGAAAGCTTACTTTAAACCAAACTGTCAAAACAACATGTGAAGTCAAACTGTCAACCGCTTATTTTATCTGTTGTGGCAAAATGGCCTTATGGCCAGTTAGCTATGCTGAAAAACACACAGGGCAAGGAATTTTCTGGTAATATAGCAGACACAAAAAATGAAAAAATAAAAAAAAATATTTTGTAAAAATAAACCACACTTACTTGTATTGATCAGAAATTGATTTGACACACCAGGATGATCTACATCATGTATTGCACTGGCAAAAATTGCTGCAAGAATCTCCAAATCTGTAAACACAGCCTAGAAGATCAGAAATACATATAACACTAGTACTCCATTGCAATAAGAAATAAATGTATACCTGTAAAACGAAGTAAAGCTATAAAAAATAGGAAATTACTTTCTAGAATCTGATGAAACTAAATGAAACTTCAAAATATATTACTATATAATATTATGTCAGGAAGGGAGTCTTGGATAATGAATTACTCAGAACTTTTTTAAGTCTAATTTTGGAAAAGAACATATCTGAATTTTTAAAATAACTCATAGTTAAACCTTTTCCATTGATTATTTTTAAAATACATATACAAAAGTATTACTGCAGATTCCTTTCTTTAAAAAAACCACTTATTTTAAAATTATTTTAGATGTTTAAGAATGTAATGATAATGTACATAAAATTTGGCATAAGCTATTCTTTTCTTTGCTTTAATTCAAACCAGGGCTTTTCAACCTTAACAGAACTCTTTCAGGTCAGATAATACTTGTTGTGAGAGGCTGTCGTGTATTGTAGGATTGTTAACAGAACCCCTGGCCTTTTCATCAAGATGCTAGTAGCATGTACCCCCACCGCTGTCCCCAGCTGTGATGGCCAAAAATGTCTCCACATTGTGCCAGTTAGTATAGGGGTAGAGGGGGCAGGAAAAAGGAGAAGTCAATTGAGAACCATTCATTCAAATGAGGAGGTATTAAACAATTATATAATGAAAATAATCTGAACTAAAAATTAAATTAGCAAAAGAGAATCTTTCAAACAATTAAGGAACTCAAGTTGCCTTAATGAACATTTAATAGAATAATTTCTTAGGGTTTGGTCAAATGAAAGATGTCTTTCTAATAAAGTCTATAAAAATTTAAATGTATTGACTATATTTGCAAATAATCTTCCTTTGAACTAGAAATGCAAAATTAGGAAGAGTGAACAAGCTAGATGTGCTTTATGAAATGTTCACCAGATAATTTTAAAGAAGCATCATCAGGAACAGATGAAATCTTAAATTACTGATAAACTTTCACAGACAAAATTCATCAGAAGATTCAACTGTGACATAATTACATTTTTTACCCTATAAATGCAACATACTTCCAAAGGAGCCAATTATTTTCTTCTGCATACACTCTTCAATATAAATGTTTACAAGACCTTTATCTGTGGCAAGTTATTGTTCTCAAGGTTTAGAAACCAGATTTACCTCCAAAGCAGGTGTAGATAACAGCACATGTGTAGACTGGACAACATCTGCAGCATGGATATTGTTGTGGTAGGCCACGTCTGCGTGGTAATGGTCTTCCAGGGTCATAAGGTATGTAATTAAGGTGTCTACTGGAATTTTAAATGTTTTTAATAAATCCCGTTCCTGTAGGAAAAGAAATCCTGTTCACACTCTGTTCTTATATAAAAGATGTCCCACAGTATGTATGTATTTAAAAAAAAATCAAATTCAGAGATGCCTAAGAATAACCAAGAAATGGGCCTCTTGCAACATCTAATGAGGAAAACCCTGGGAAGATCCAGGAACTTCAGGGACAAAATCAAGAGTGTAATAGTTCTGGAGAACAACAATGCTCGCCCCAAGATGAAGTAAGATGTCAGGGATGAGCTGCCAATTCTAAAAAGTGTGTGACCCATGATCAGGACGCTGGCTATCAAATTGAAGATCAACAATCTTTTTAGGGCTGGAGCTTTGTTCCAGACCCAGTATAGCTATAGCCTCAACGTCTCAGTTAAATGCTAATTCTGAACTGGAGAGCAAGCCTGAGAATTTCAAAATGATATGAAGGAAAAGAGCAGTACAGAAACTAGTGATTAAAGGAATTATAATCTAAAATGAAGCAACTGAGTGCTAATTCAGTTTTTAAACTTAGTACTTCCTTCTTATGGGAGTCAGGGTCATGTAGATGACTTTAAACTATGTTTTTAATGAATTCCTTCAATTTTCCTACGGCACATCTTTTTCTGAAGTGGAAAAAGTCAACACAATTGGTTTATTTGTGCTTTACCTACACTCCAACCTTTTGTATCCTTATTTGCCATTGGTAAAGGGATAAATAATAATAAAAAAAAAGAGTGCAAGAGAGTAATAAAAAAGATAAAGCTCATGCACCATACACATAGGTATTATGCCACCAAACAAAAGAAAGGTGATAGAACCTAGCCCTGTTACCTGAAAAATGGTGTGCATGATAACAGTCAACGGCCGGTTACCAGACAACTCTGCTATTCTGAAAACATGAAGACCCCATTTGTTCACATCTTCTAGCTCCTGGGTTTAAAAAACAGAAAGAAAAATTAGAAAGTGGAAATAGAACATAAAACAATGAGCCCTTCTTTATAAAATTATTCACTTTAATGAAAAGATTGTTTGATTTTAAAAAGGACTCATTTTAAAAGTAATGGAAGAGCCATGTAACTAACAAGCATATATTCACTGGAATATATGGGAAACTGAATAGCACGGCTTTATTTCAGACCTTTCACAATACAACACTTACATTCTTTGAGTATCAACTTCAAAGCACTTATTCAATAGTTAAAATCTATTCACAAAAACCTTAACTATTCTAACCCTCAAAAGATAGATTACTTAATGTTAACAAGATATTGATGCAAAGAATAAAGAACACATATACCAAGCCAAGTACTCTAGAATAAGCTTCATAAAATGTTTTCCCATCTCAAAAACACACACACACACACACAAAAAAACACCTCAATTAAACTTATCTATTTAAAAGAGGAAACATCAAGAAGAGGTATCACTGATCACTGATATTAATAATCATGATCCTTGAAGTCATCTTACCTTAGCGAGGACGTCTTCTTGTTCAGTTTTGACCCCAAACCTTGGGATGCTTGAATTAGTCAAACTGGAGCTGTGCATTAGCTTTTTCACCCCACTGATCTGAGACATCGGTCTTTTCTTTTTCTCCTTTTCCTTCTGAGTTGGTGAAGGAATTTCCACTTCATGTTGCTTATCTTAAGAAATTTAGAAAATATTCTACATTTACTATTAATTCTGACGGGGTTTATTTTTTATCAATTATAACATGTGTAACTAGACATGTTTTATTTGGTCATTACATATTCCAGAAAACATTTCCAACTGGAACTCCTTTTAGAGAAGATTTATAATTTATTGTGAACTTACTATACCTTCAAATACAAAATCAAACAAATGAATCCACTTCAAAATAACTAAAATCAGATGTACTTAGGGTTACTTATTTGATAGACTGTTGTAGTATTTTTGTGTTAAGACCTAACATGTAGTAGACTTGGAAAAAAGCAAAAATAGTGGTAGTTTCCACTGTTTTGAAATGGTAGAAATTTCATACACAAATTATTATTGAAACAGCAGAGTATGAATCTAATGCTTACTGAAATGAGTTATACGCAGGAATTCAAATAGCATATATGAATGACTTAGACTGTTTTGCTGTTTCATATTCCCTACAATATATAATGAGGTAAGGGCTTGAGGTAAGGGCTCCCTTAGGTAACACTAAGGTAACATGGGGAGCACAGAAAATCTTCACTAGTATCTCATAAGTAAATATCACATTCCCAAAAAGCTAATTATTGTTTTCAAATAAAAGGTATAAGATGTCTTAGTATATTCATTCACCATCTCAAGGCAGTGAGCCCTTCCACCTTGTTACACATAGCAGGGGTCCAACAAATGTACTTATTTGATATTACTGCAATTTTGTTTTGAAAGAAAATTCTAACTAAGGATTATGTTCAAGTTACTGAAGTTCAATATTGCAATTTCTTTCCCTGAATGGAGGATTGGGGTGATGTAGTCTCATACTCACAGCTATTATTATCAGCAAGTTTTTCTGTGGCAATTGCATTAAACCTGTCTCCTCAGTTTACCAGGCTTGATGCCCATTAAAACTATCAACAAAATGACTTCAGGGACCATTTCAAATGTATCATTAAAAAAAAAAAGTGGCTGGCATTTTTCCAGGAACTAGTTGAATGCATGCATGTATCTCTCTACAAAACACATTTTATAGTTTGATGATACTTTGGGGAAAATGGCAACATACAACTTTAATTAAGAGAACTGAAGTCCTGAATTAAGCTAAATGATAAAAAATGTAGCTTTGTCACCTTAAATTCTAAAGATTAGAGAGGTTAATCTTATTAATATGAATGAAAACAAAATTCTTAATAGTTTAGTTTCCAAGATGAGTTAGTATCCCATTCTACCTCCCAAAAATAAGCCTCAAAAAGAAAATTTAAAAATTGAATTTAAATTGGTATTCTCACCTAAGAATGTATTTGATATGTACTCTGATACTTGATTTCCAGACCGACTCATTTCAGAGAGATGAGTAAGCTCCCGATTAAGCATCCTTTTAAACTGAAAAATAAAACATATAAAAGGAAAATTTAAGTGAGATAACATAACACATAGAAAATATGCCAAAAGAAATTTAGATTGCCCTGACAATTTAGATCAGTGATATCTAACAGAATTTTCTTCAATGATGGAAAAACTCTATAATCTGTGCTGTCCATTACAGTAGCCTCTAGCTATAGGTGGTTACTATACTGGACAACATAGACTTAGAAACTTAAGGACACTAGTTAAAAAAGGGAATAAAAAAATTAAGGTTCATTGTTAGTCTTTAAAGAGGAAATTAATAAAACAACTAATAAGCACACCAAAGTGCCACCACACAAAACAGAGTCCATTTTAATAGTTAGTTTATTATTAGCAGAAATAAGTGTACTAGTCAGAGGTTAACCAAAATATGGTCTTTTTGAGTGGATCAAGATGTGGTATGTATACACAATGGAATACTATTAAGTGATCATAAAAGATAAACTTATGCCATTTGGAGCAACATGGATGGACCTGGAGGAAATTATTTTAAGCAAAATCAGTGGAAAAAAGACAAACATTGGATGATTTCACTAATATATGGAATATAAAGAAACCAGACAAAGGATTAGATAAAGCCACTCAAAAACTAGCTTGTGAAAGCTGACTGTGACTATATGATGACAGAACTGAAACAGTTAAATGAGGCCAGAAAGAGGGAAGGGCAGCACTAAGTGAGAAGAAGCACAATGGATTTTACAACTATGATAACAGCCCTAGAAGTGGGGGATCCCAATAAACAGTATAAACCAACACTACCTCAACAACAATAAAAATGTGGTCTTGGCCATCCCTGGTGGCGCAACAGCTTAGAATGCAGCACTGCAAGCCAACTGCAGCCGCCTCAGTGTGAGTTCGATCCCCCACCCCAGAGGTGACCCACATGACTCAGCAGACCTCTTCTGATCCGCCCGCTGATCCCCTCAGCAGTGTACTCCATCAGTTGGCCTGTTCTGCTCCCCACTGTCTCTAGTGAATCCTCTCACTGCCCCTGCACCTCTGGCTTGCACCCCAGTACTGTATGTATAAATAAAAATAAAAATCTTAAAAAAAAAAGAAAAGAAAATGTGGTCTTTTGCCCTAGTGATTTTTGTACTCTTCCAGAACTATAGAGAAATAAAATACCTGATGGATTTTAAAATTTTCCAAGTTAATAAGTGTAAGATTAATTTGTTCTCAGTATCCACAGATTTACCAATGTCCCCTTTCCCTAAGTCATGTAAATATAAATAGATCAATTTTAATACATTACTTCATCATCTCACAGTCTATTTTACTGAAGCCATGGTACCTATTTTATCCAAAGAAACACTGGAAGTGACCTACCACAACCACATGATATTACCAAAATCCAGAGTTCTCCAAGGAGTCATATTTTTCATTCATTAACTGTTTCTTACTGTGTTTTCCTTGAAATCCCATACTAGCCTTCTAATATACCTTAACATATCTTTTAACATAGGGAAGGAATACATGTCTCTACATAGAATAATTGATACTGGATAGTTAATTTAAAAGCCATATTTTACTGTAATGTTTAGTAGGTTTTAAAAAATTTAATTTCATAAAATGTTCTCATTTCAGTAGTGTGTTTATCATTTAGCAGTGCTTAAAAATTTAATTCTAATGCAGCATATAATTAAAATTAATATAAATTTAAAAAAATCTTGTTTCTTTGTATAATTCTAACTTAAAAAGCACTGACCAAGAGCAGTAAAAATATTTCAATACAGTGTTGGTATTAGAAATGCATATTTCTTGTATCTAACAGTGTACTGAAATAAGCAGTTTCCTATGGCCAAAACTGAAGAACTGGTTAAAATCAAAATGGAGTCTCTAGTTATAAGCTTACAGATGGAGAGTTTATTCTCCCAATACAAGAACATACAGTTCACTTTCTTTGTTCAAGTGTTTTATTAGTAATATCTCTGATTAAAAATAAAAATCTAGAAAATTAAAGAGAAAAAAATGGAAATCAAGTATATTTCCACTACTCAGAGAGAACCATCACTAATTAGCTATATTTCCTTCTACGCCAATTTTTACATTTGTATATATTTTTAAAACTGGTATGATGCAAGACAAAATATGAGATACAACTTGCTTTTCACTCAGCATTCTATTATTATGGTTCACTAGGGAAAATGAAATTGAGAGCTAAGAATATTCATGAAGACATATATATCAGAGTTCAAAAGACTTTCTGTTCATCTTTTATAAAGTTTTATTTTCTGAAGTAAAGTTAAAGAACATCAACTTATTAAATGAGTGAACACAAAATATTTTGCATTTAGCTGCACAGAGTAGTGTTCAACATTATTTGAGTTTTCTAGCTCTCAGTTTTTGGAGTTTTAAGTGATAGGTGATATTTATCACTGTAGGAAAAATAGGTGGAATATATGACTATAGTTAAAGTGCAGAAAGTACTATTTAAATATTTAGCTCATCCCAAAATATAATTTAGGACAGTATTATAAAGTACATGCTCACCATTTTCCAAAAATATAATGATAATGTCTTGTATATGCTCTGAAGGTAAATCAACCCTTTCTTAACTGAAATGAATTATTTTTTAAAAATCTACTTTTTAGGCAAAACACATTAAGAAATGAGTCAGTTAAGCATTTTGAACATATGTTTAATGTTATATATCTCTTTCACTTGAAATTGTTCAAGCAATGAGTTAAGTGTTATTGTTCAGATCTCCTTATCAGATGGGGCTGTAGGCAAGCTTCAGCCACTCCTAGCTTCTTGACAGCTTAGAAAGGAGCCTTGTGTTTGGAGGGAAGGGCACAATGATTAAAGTTAAAATAGGGATCCAGTTTTTCCACACAACTACCTTCTAACTTATAAGCAATCTGGAAAGAGTATGTTGCCATACACTCATGTAGAATTAAAAATTGCATGATACCTGTGGGTTAAACAAACTGCTGAATTTTGCTGGAAGAATATGAAAAATTAAGTGTAATTTTTCTTGTAGCTTGCTTAAATAATTCAGCAAAATAGCAATAGATAGGGCAAAAATGCCAGTGTAATGGCTTTTTTTTTTTTTTTAAAGACTGATAAATGACAGAATATACATTCTACTGATAGTGCTTGCACCATGTACAAATGTTGCCAAACTATTCTGCTTTTGTTCAGAACCCCAAGTGTGGGGTGGGGACACCCTAATGGCACACCTATCTCTCTCTCTACATGGTTTGTGATATAATCCAAGGAAGTCAATATTTTCTTTTAACACAATTAGAAGAGAGAATGTTTTAAGCAATCTCTTCTCTTCCCAAGGGAAAGGTTTAGAAGATTTCTGAAAGACAATTTTCATAGTCAATTAAATCATAACATGAGGACATTTTCTAAATAGAATTAAAATTGTCTTTTTTCTTTATATTATTGTTATAAAACTTTCAGACCAGAAACGCTAACCACAAAAAATGACCATCAGTGTTTTCTCAACTGGTACCTGATGCTACAATTAGGTTTTGGAGTGCACAGAGTAGGTAAGTTAAAGAACAATAAATTAAACCATCAGCTGTCATTTTTAAATGGAAATTTCTCCTTTTAAGATAACTACATATCATCATAGGATAATGATGTAAAATTACCATACAGGAAAAATTATTAGAAAGGTAATAAAAAATATTTTTCCTAGAACATTGTTACAGTTCTCAATGTACAAATCTAAAAGAAATAATACATGGAACTGGCTTTCAAAAGAATTGGTTGCAAAATATAGAACAGTTTAATTGAGCATTTAGATTATTTTCAAAATTGACCTCTAAATAGTTTTTATTGATGGGTTATTGTGATTGTTTTTTGGCCTCAATCATCTGAAATAATGCACAGAATCATTTGCTTCAACAAAGGAAAAAAGAGCAAGAATTCTAAGAGAATGTTTTCAAATCCTTTGTTCTCATTATGCATCAGAATGTCTATGTGCTGCATTTTAAAGCATACAGGAAAGTGAAATTTAGCTGACTTGAATACTGTATTTGCTTTTTTAAACTCCAGTTTTCTGATTTCTGTTTTACATCTAGCACTGTTGAGGAAACAAATAACACAATTAAAATATTTTAAAGTTTAACCTCTGTACTTGTGCATTAATGCCAATATACTACCAGGTACATTATATAGTTTCCTAATATATAATTAAGATGGTGGTAAGGTCAAGTTTAAGAAATGCTTACTCCCCCCCCCTTAATATTCTGCTAAAAATTATTTGAATATGCTGCACTATGATATACTGTTTGATAACAGCATTAAAAGACAAAATACTGAATTAGCTGTGTAGGAATATTTTTTAAAAATGTATGATAAATATATTTATTTTTCTTAAAGATCTTTTACAGTTTTAAAAACAATGGTTTCCAGCAAAATTTTTCTTTAAAAAAAGCATTTAGACTCTGATTCTTTCATAATTACAATGCAAATATGAAACCCTTCAAATATGAGTTGTCTAAAACCTAAGGGATGAATTCTATAGAAGTTAAGGAATTTTACAGGTAGAAAATAAACTTTTCATTTTAATAGTGTATCATTTAAAAAGTCAAGCAATGTCATTTGTAATGTCACCCAAGGCTATATATCCTAAGATAAAAAACATACACTCCTCATCAAGTTACAGTAATACAGATTTTTTTATTTCACAAATCAATTTTTATAAAGTTTAAGTGCTAAAACACCAACTAGAAGTCATACACCAACCAGCATAAGAACGTTGGTACAATAATTTATTTCCAGTGTGTTTATTTAATTTCCTTGACATTTAAAAGAACAGCTCAAATCTATTCCATATGACAGAAGGACCACTGCACACAAAAAGCTATTTTCGCATGCAAACTACACTATTAAAAGTCACAAAATTTCTCCCGAACTTGACCATTAAAATACATACTACTTTTACTTCTCTAGCTTATGTCTAAGAAATAAAAGATAGCTTACAAAGCTTAACTCCATTGTAATTTACTAAAACTATCAGT